GTCATCACTGACTCTAGGTGTTAACTTCAGCAGTGAAAACAGAGTCGTGACTTCATCATAAAAAATTGAAAAAATGAACAAAAAATGTAAGCAGTATCTTTCCTAAGTGGAAAGCTGCACTGAATTGTCAAATTTGTCGGACAAAGGAAGTCACAGTACAAAGGTTTTGCAAGGAACTGTTCCTTTTGTTTCCGATATCTAGGGCCTTTTTACACACAGTCTTTGGACAAAGTACATGTACTTACCTTCACTGTCTGTGCTACGGCTAACATCAGAGTCATCTTCATCATTTTCTGCGAGGCCAAACTTGTCAGAGCTGACAAAGTGTAGACAAAGTAAGGATAATTTAAGCAGCAAGACGTAACGACAGCATAGAAAGACGCTGGTTCCTGGAAATCTTCCCGAATCCTAAAAAATCCTCCCCAAAATGAGACATTCTCTGAAATTCTACAGACACATCAAGTCCCATTTGAATTCAAAGAGGCTGGGCTGGGCTCTATCTTCCTCAATCTTCCACAAATCTCCTGGTGGATTTTGAAGGATCTGGGAAGGTTGGCATTAAGACACATGTAATAGTACGGGGGAAAATGAGTGAACTTGCAGGAATCAAGTTCACTTTCTCAATCCAGCTTGTCATTGAGTAACCTGGTGCTGGGAAGGAACTTACTCAGGTGCTGTGCTCTCCACTGATGCTGCCCACTCATTGGTCACTCCTTGCTCCATCATCTTCTCTTAATGTCTTCCTCCTACAATAAAAACAAAAAACACCAAGGCATCCCTTCAGTTTTTACTCTTGTCACAGCAACATCCTTCATTTATTGTTGAAGCCTCCTAACTGCGCGCCCCCTAACTTTGGTGCAGTTTGATTTTTTGCCTCCAGTGCCTTGCCAGAGCGAAATTTTTACCTCAAATTTCAAAGTAAGTGAAATTTTATCAAACTCCCACTAATCTAATACAAAACTCCTGAGTTTACTCACTCACTACAACTTTCCAATGAAATCATTTTGGCTCAGTTTTCCAATATTTTTTGCTTCAGTGCAAAATGGACACTTCTAAACCTGCCCAAAAATTTAAAATAATTTTCTAACAAACTTTTGTTTAAGTGTATGTAAAATGAGGTAATACTAGAAATTATCAAGTTACAGAACTTCTCAAATGTTTATGCGGGGTTTTGGGTGATTTTTTCAAGTATGCCACGTGAGGGAACATTAACAGTCAAGATGCCATGGCACAATTACTTGACATCCTCAATGTTAGTCGAGATGTACCCGGTAGGCCTACATGTACGGAAAGAAATCCATTACCGATATTTGCCCTCAGTGACCTCGCATTATTAGTACAGGTACCACCAGCCATCTCAAAGAAATGAAAAAGTGTCCTAAAATGTCAAAATTTAGCAGTGAAAATGTTGCTGGTATTCACTTAGAAAAAACTTGATCATTTCAGACCAATGCCATAAGGTTTCTTCCTCCGTGGTCCATTTGTGCAAAGGGAGTCAAGCCGCATCCATATCACATCTACGTTTAATTTTTTAAATTTATTTATCTGAT